GAGATTTTCCAGCGGCAGGAGCCACCACCGTCTCCATAAGGCCTTTTTTTTTTTTCCTTCATTAAAGCAAGAAATTGCATTTCCTTGTTTACACCTTTTCTACCACCAAACTCGTCCTACCCCACTCGAGCCGACACGAGCAAACACAACAGGGAAGACACCTTCGCTCCCCAAAAGCGAGAAGCCCACGGCGCAGGCTGCGGGGAAACGCGTTTTTGGGGGTCCCGGCCCCCTCTGCGCTGGCCGTTTGCTTCCCAGGAGGGCTGCAGGCGGAGCCGCTCGTACTCGGTGGGCGCACCAGCGAGCAGAGCGGGGCTCGTCCCGCAGAGAAGTGAGCCGCTTTGGAAGGGAAAACCCACTCGTGGGGACCCCCCCGCCCACCCCCCCAGCACAGGCGCTTCCCTGAGCGTGCGTTTCACTCCACGGGGAAGCAAACCGAAAGGGGTTTGCCAGGGAGAGCCTGCGCCGCTCGCCGCCGCCGAGGTTTGCTCTTTCCTGCCTGCGCGCAGGAGGCTCCCACAGCCTGGCAGCTGCCCAAAGCCAACCCAAAACCAACCGCTGCCGCTCACCGCCACGGCGCGGGAAGGCTCCCGCCCGACGCCGTCACCGAAGAGCATCGGGACGAGCCCGACGCGAAGGAGTCTCCTACCTGCTGCAGCCACGCCGGCTCCTCCACAGCACCGAGGCGAGGAGATGCTGCCGGAGGGGAGGCAGAGGGGCTGCCGGTGCCCCAGGTGCGGCAGGGCCAGCCCAGCTGCGGTGGCTCTTCATCAGCGGGTAATTAGTGGGCTCAGCTGCAGGGGAGCAGCTGCAGCCTGGCTGGGGGAGGCAGCAGCCCTTTTCGGGGTGTGGGGGGTACCCAGGTCCCGCTTCCCATCCCAGAGGGAGCGATCTCACCATATCCTTAAGCTTTTCCTCGGAGCGAGCCCAGCCCGTGGCAGGACCAAGGGTCCCGTCTCCCCCCTGCACAGCGCCCGCCGGGGACCCCCGAGCCCGTGCCCACACGTCTTCCACGAGTCCCGAGAGAGGGCAGAGCGTCAGGTGCCGAACACAGGCAAAACCATCGTTGTTGAGATCAAGGATTTATTTACACGTCAAGGAAAACTCTCACCCAGAGTCACGTGAGGAGGAAAAAGCAAACAAACCCAAAGGACCAAGCGATTTGCCTCCTGAACACAAACGCTCGCACTCCCCAGCACGCCTGGCCGCCTCGAAGCGCGGCCGAACGCCTTCTCTCCTCCTTCTCCGCAAGGAGAAACGAAAGGCATGATTTTTTTAGTTATCTGCGCCACAGAAAACACAATCTGAAAATAAAAACCGCCTTTCCAAAGGGATCTGCCCCCGCACGGGCGGATCACAGAGCACCCCTGGCTCTGCCACGGAGGGAAGGTCCGAGGGGCCGCACATCTAGTACTCGTCCAGGGTGTCCGCCCGCGGGACAGAGAGGCCCCGCTCCTTCAGCGCCTGCACTTTCAGTTTCTCCGATTCCTGCTTGGCCTGCTGCTCCACCCGCTGCTCCTCCAGGATCTCCTCGATGGAGACCTGCTGCAGAGGCGTGTCGCTCTCCTTCTCCAGGTCCTGCAAGAGAAACAGCCCGTTTAGCACCGCAAGGCAGCCGCCGCGGCCAAGACACGCAGCTCTGCTGGTGGGATGCTCCGGGCACTGCTCTGCCCGTGGGGCAGCTCGGGGCTGGGCCGACGTCGCCGCCGCCGAGCGCGTCTCACCGGCCAGGGCAGCGCCGGTCTGCAGCGGCCAAAAGCCAGCGGGGACGTCAAAGGTCTGGGGCGGATCTGCACTTGCGTCTCCACTGGGACGCTGACGCGCGCACCCCTCCTGCGCTCGGGCTTCGGTGACATCCGAGCACTTCCTACAAGCGCCTGGCCGGGCTCTGTGCCCCGGGGAGGGTGGGCATCGCTGCGCCACAGACGACAGGCTCCATCGCTCTTGCCAAAGTTGTTGGAGCAGGACGGTTCCCGAGGTGAGCAGCCAAGCTCTGGGCTAACTAGCTCGAAGGCAGCCCGGGGATTTGGTCCTGTAAACGCTCGCATTCTCCCTGGGTCACGGATTTGCAGGTGCAGGACAGTCTCCTCCAGGTGAGACCCAGAGGCCCCCGGACCATGGTGAGCCCGTGCCCACACGTCTTCCACGAGTCCCGTCAAGAGGTGATGCAAAACAGAGGTGCTGGCGGCACCCCGACGGGTGGGGATGTGGACAGGGACCCCCAGGACAGCCGGGGACACCCGGGCTGGCTGTGGATAGGAGGGGGCTGCCAGGGAGCAGCCGGGCCAAAGAGCCGAAGCAAACAAGACGACGCTCGACTCCTCCCCAGCCCATCCCGCATGGTGTCCCCCAGTGCCGAGCCAGCAGGGAGGTGACAGCCCCCCAGGCAGCCACTCATGGCACCCTCCAGCAATGCCGCACACAGGCCAGGGCCTCCCCATGTCTCCCTCCGCTCGCCAGCCCACGTATCGCTCCTCACCCCTCACCTCGTCCCAGAGGAGCTGCAGCTGCGGGACGGCACCTCTGCCCCCGCCCGCGGATACGCGGGGGCGTTTTCCCGACGGTTCAGCCTGAACCGGCCCCGGGAGGGGACTCAAATTTCAGCCCCTGCAACGGGACAGTGACCTTATTTCACGGCAGACAGACAAGACGGACGCCCAGCTCTGGTGGCCGCCTCGGCGGTGCTGCCTGAGTCACGTCACCACAACCACCACCAGCTCAGTCCCAGACCCGGGCCGGCAGCAGGCAGAGAGCAGGCAGAGAGCAGGCAGAAGGAGCCGCTTACTTACTATTTCCCCCAGCAGAACAACGTTCTCGCCTCTCACAACAAAGATGCCTCGAGGGATGTCCCCATACTTCTTGCCCACATGGATGCGCTCCACAGTCTGGTGCAACACCAAGTTTGCTGTAGCGATCAAGAGAGAGAGAAAATAATCCATATTTCACTGTGTTTTCTAGCTAGGGTGTCCCATCCCAGCCAGGCAGAAAACCCAGAGCAGCGACGGCACCGGTGCTTTCACGCAGGTCACCTGAACCAGGTCACCGAAGGCACCGACCGTCTCCCCGGCTGAAACGCAGTGGCTGCAGCGACGGACGCAGCACTTCGGGAGCAGCAGAGCAGCTCCCGCGCCACGAGGCAGCCTCTGCCCTCCAGCTGCCGCAGCCTGCGCAGGCAGGGCAGGCAGGACGGCGAGCTCAGACCCGAGCCCACCCAAGCACCAGGTGCCGACGACGGCAGAGAAAACAACGGCGTTGTTGGTGCTGCGGGTTCCGGGCAAGGACCAAGGCACTCGGTCGGGAGCACAAACATCACCCGCGCGCATCCAGGGCTATTTCTGCCCAAAAAGGGATGCCAGAGCATCAATGCTGGACGCAACCTGGGCAGCGGGAAGCACCCAGTTCTGGGAGAAGTCTCTGTGAAGCACTAAGTCCAGGGGGACGCGCAGGCGGGCATTTAATCCACGAGACAAACGTGCTCTAAAAACGCGACCTGGAATCGCATCGCTCTACGCACAACGAAACCGATTTCTTTCAAAATTCACGTTGTTTTTAGGCAAGGAAACGCGCGCTCCTGCTCAGGACCGGCAGGCGGTGGGGCCGTTACTGCAGGCGGCGCAGCCGCTGCGCTAAGCGGGGACCACGAAACGGGAAAATCTCACCAAACCCAAACTCCCTCTTTACCGTTAAGCCACTGCTTGGGAAGGGAGACGCTCCGGGAAGCGGGACGGGAGCCTCGCCCAGCTCATGCGAACGGGCGCTGCGGGGCTCTCCTCCTCCTCCTCCTCCTCCTCGCCAGCCCCTGCGCACGGCTGGCACCGGAGCGCGTCTGAAGCCAGGCCGAAGCCTCCCGCAGCCCCCCGGCAGCCCCCGGTGCGGACATACCGAACTGGTCGATGCTGCGCAGGTACCCGATGAGCGTCCGGCCGTCCCGCAGCAGGACCAGGTGCTTCTCTGCGGGAACGGGAGAGCGGGAGGGTCAGCCCCGGCCACGCGTGGGCATTAACACCGCCCCCCCC